AGTACGTACATAACTTCTACTTATTTTTCATATGAATTATAAACGCTAAGAACAAATTTCGTTGAAGAGTAATTAGCCTACGTGCTAACAAGAGAATTCTCCTTCGTAAACGAATGGCATTTTTAGAAAGTCCAAACTGGATTCGAGTTGAATCATTAACTTTTTTTATGTTTTTATCACTTTTTGCGGTAAGACGTAATGTTATCTTAGCACATGTACTTATCGCGTCCATTCATTACGAACTATCTTTTTTCTACGCCACGTGAATTGTAAATATGCTGAGTGTACATATATGTATCTCGGCGAATGTTACGTAATTCACAAGACTTTATACTATTCTTTAAAATGGCAAAATAAAAATCATTCCTCGTAATTACTCGATTTGAAAAATCGATCGATTTGCTAACAATTAAACGCGTTTAAAAGAGATCGTCTGCTGACGAAGCAATTTTTTCGCCAGTCGCACTTTCAAAGCACCGCGCCGCGTCGACCGTGGCTTCGCATATTTGTCCACAGTCGCTTGCAAATTAAAGCGGGACGGTGACGCGCATTGCAAGCTCCCGTTTCCATACCCTGGCAATAGGCAGGCGCATTCGAGTGTGTTAGCGCGATAATTTCACAGGCACAACGCCCGCCGACACTGTCTTTAACATGCACGTAACATTTATTATGCCACCGCGCTTCCTCTGTTAGTCAAACGACGCCGGTATTCGCGGCGAGCTGCAATGCAGGTGACTGCAGTATCAGCGCCTATCAGACACTCCGATGCGAGAACTTCGTGAATCGGTTACCGTAGGCCTCCCAATTAACGTGAATTCGCAATTCGCATGAACGCTTCTCGCTTTCTGATAAAACAACCCGAGCTTACTTTCAAACGAATCACGTGATCCGTGATTTTGATCGAAAATTGATTTCCCCCTGTAATTAAGAACTCAATTAAAAATCAATGTAACTCACTTTTTATATTTATTCACGTATTGATTCTCATGCCTGACTGTCTGACCATTATAAATTGCAGTTTTCAGTACAATAATTAATCATCGTGACACTCGTGAAATTTAAATATTTCATGATTTAATAATTTCTGTCAGGGTTGACGTATGCTGATGTGTGTACGCAAAGGTTTTTAAACAAATTTGCAATTTTATGAAGAATTACATAAAAGACAGTTTCTATCGTTCTTCCAAGTGGCAAAGCCAATAAATTATGCATTACGTAATATTTGCGGAGTAACCGTATTACTAAAAAAAAGTCACAACACAGCACAAAACGTCTTATTCAATCATGTATTTATATCTACATTCATACATACTACACATTAACAATGTTGGATTTAAGTTTGTAATATATGTGTGTCAAAGTGTTAGACGAATATTAATGTCAATGTATTCAAGGAAGAGTTTCATCCAATGTTTGTTACCATATTCCTTGACACAAACTTCTCCGTTATTCCATGATTACATCTTACACTTCGTTCTCATAAATCAGGAAACGTCTCTTTACTCTTGGCTAAGTAGCTTTGACAATATGTTCTCAGCAAGGTGAAAGTTTCATGACAGTGGTAGAAGTTTCATGTTTGCCCGTTTTACTTTTCAAGTCCGTAGAACCGTATCTGTTTGCATTACGCCGTGAATATACATTGGGGAATAATAATTTCCTGAATTTAGATTACATATTTCCTTTTCACTTACACTAAAAACGACGATTTTCTTCCAGACTGCTCCTCTTCACCGCGGATATTCCATTACTTCACGAAAATGGAATTATTGTTATTCGATAAAGTATCTTTATCGATGTCAAAAAATTATAAAAGCTTAAACAACAAAAAAAAGCACGGACTTTTGATTCACCCTAATATAACAATTTCATTTTGAAGAAACTAAGTTATATGCATTTGAAAATGGCTTTCAAAGTAGTTCAAATTCATTACGAGATTCCACTTTACTAATTATCCTGAAGTTCATAAATGGAAGTGTGGATTCTAAGAAAACAGGGGGATTGAGTTGAAACGTAATACGTTGTAAGCAGGGGTTGAAAACAGCTATGATATCAGTTTCGGTTCTTCGATACTATATCGGTTTTACTACTATTTTTTTTTCGCTTCTATATTTCAGTTTTACGTTTCGGTTATTGTTGGAACCTACCTACGTACCATAAATGCGTGTAACGTCAGATATTTATATTCTTGACAGATAAAAAAATCTCAGCAGCCTTGCTTATATAAAAACGTAATCACATTGTCTTTCAATTCAACCAGAAATTCTATGGTTTTAGTACTTTTTTTTTTTAAAGAGAATGCATATTTTTTTACATATGAACAGAATTAGAATTAAATTAATAAAATAGAAATACAGGACCACAAATAAGTTATAAAACCGAAACTGTAACTGACATATTAAATCAGAATCGGTATAACAGTTATGACACTTCTTCGGTTCTCCATAACTGTTTCAATCGGAATAGTTCAAAATATATTTTCAGAATCTCTTCAATCCCCGTAAGGAAGTTCGTGTCTCGACCCACGTGTCGGTGGTTTGATCGGCTTCGTCCACTTCCGTTTTGCCATCGGGTCGGTCGGGGTAGCGATGACTGGTCAAATTCGATGAAGTAACGGGCTTCTCGAAGGAGCATCGTTCCGGATACGGTGTATAGTTCGGTCGGCTACGTGTTTACGTTACGAAACGGCGTTCTCGCATTGCCGCGTAACCGTAAGACCGTGACGAAAACTGAGCTACGTGGGTGACGGCCTGTCCGTCCGTCCTATCGCTCCTAAGCAAGCCTGCCTTTCACGTAAGGTCGACGAGTCGTAACCGCTTTGTTCGCAGACAGAATTTTCTGGTGAAAAAAAAAAAGTACAGTAGGTTATATAAGTTTTTAGCAGTTAGTATAATTATAAGTGTCTGATTGAAGAACGCCTGAAAGCCGGCAATTCACGAACACAGCTGTCCGACTGGTCACGAAGCCACTGTCGGAAAGTTGAAACTCGTCCTACTTATCGGAAAAGTACAACTTTACAATTTCATATTCTCCTGTAATATTCATGAGCATCTGTTAATGTTAATAGAACGCACTCTTCAGAAATTATGTTAATGCTGAATGCTTGTGTAAATAATACACTACGTTTTTACGTAAATACAGAAGGGAAAGATAATGGAATGGAGTTATCGTACTGTTCAAATGATTGTGTAAAAAAGAGAAATTTATATTTCTCTCGAAAGTACGAGTTCTCGTTAATTACGGATGTCTGAAAATACGAAATTTTTGTCTAGAAATAACTAGAGCCTGAGTACACTGCGAGTAAAAACAGACGCCAGCTAAAATTAAAACCAATTGCTCCCAAGTATCTTTTCTTGGGCACACGTCCTATTTTATTTATTGTACGTGATTTTGATCAATTATATATCTTACCTTGTTTAATGTACAGGACATCTTATCCGAAATTTTATGCAATTATTGCCTAAATAAATAATTCGTTTAAAAAAATGTTTCAAAGAAAATTCACTCCGTTTCACAAGACGTCTCATACGAAAATTCAGATGGGACATCGTGTATATCTACTTTAAGTAATGTTACTGAAGAAAAATTATTTTATCAGTAAATAGCAACGTGTATTCTTATACATATATGCTACTATACATATTATTATATTACTTTTGAAACCGGTGTACAAGCAAGAGGAGAGATAAGGAGAAAGATTTTTCATTTTGTCTTGTACGGACTGCTTACACAAAGTAATAGTAAAGTAGTTCAAGGCGAAGTGATCGTACATGTATGTATAAATCTATGAGAATAGAATCCTCTTTCGAAGCTGAAACACAATTCTTTGTTTTCATTCCACGGAAAGTAATTCAGTGAAACGTATTACTCAGAAATATTAGATAGACATGTTAATATAAAAATTGATTTTAAATAAGAAATTATTTTAGCTATTATTACAATGAATTAATTTATTCTTATGATTTTTCTTTCGATTTCGTTTAAATTTATTCATTGACATTTATTCATATTAAATAGAGCGATGTAAAATTATAAATATTGCAGTGTCTTGATAAATAATCTTAAGTCGTTGTCATAGTAAACGTACGGGATCAATACTGTCCTCACTTATTAATAGTGTAAAAGAAATGTTAGACCTAAGTATCTTAACCACAGCGCAAGGAGATGCGATCAATATTTGTAATTACCGTATTTGAAAATATTATTCATTTTGTATTATATTTCTTGTGAATCAATATAATTTTTAAAAATAGTACTCTTACATTGGACGTCGTAAACATTACTTTTAATTAAAATGTCATTTTTATTTTTAGTCTTGTCAACTGATGCTTTTGATATTTTATATTTTTTACATACTGCATAATCAGATTTTAAACATGTACTATAAATTCGATTCATCGATCATTTCGATTATCAGTATTTTCAAATATTTTAATATCACATTAAAAAGGCATGGTTAAAAATATATACATTAGAGGAACGATTCAATCGTGAATGCTTAAATTGATCTTCCCAAAGAAGGGGTTATTCACACTTATTTCATGGAGACATAGTGCGTAGATTCTCGATTTATCCGTGGACATGCTGTAAATTTTGTGAAAGAAGAGGAAAACGAGGTCGTATAACGTATTTTGTGTCCTTTGAAGAAAAAAAGAAGTAGGTGAATCGCATAAAAATACTCGGTGAAGTAGTGACCTCCTTGGCTCCAAACATGCTATTACGCAAAATCGCTCTCAACAGGTCCTATAACCCCGATACTTGAACAAAAATTCAAGGCGCAACGATATATGTATATACCTTATTTGTGGCTGGAATAACGAGCCTGGTGATACTCAACATTTTTGGTATTCTTGTCGTGTCAATTACAATGATTAACTGTGTTCAGTTTAAGTGCATATTTTTGTATACCTATCATCACTATGATATGAAGAAATTCAATCTAGTTTGTTAATTCGATTTTATCAATTGATGATTAGGAATCAATTATCAATAATTCTGATTTTTCTTTATTCTGATATTTATATGAACATGGACAATATGTACATTTAATTTTGCGTAGATGTTCCGAAATTGCAATGTGCAAAATATGAAAAACTTCCGATTATCCAAAACTGGAAGGAGATACGTAGACTGTTTCTGGTAACAGAATTCTCGGTTCATTGATGCGAAAGCTGAAACATAGGAAATTTCATTATAAATAGGATGTTTAGGGAAACGTGAAACGATAATACTTGTCGAGAAGTAGGTAATTCTGTAGATTTGCATACATTATCGTAAAATTGATATTTAGCAATGTTCCTGTCTAACAAACCTCAGATTAAATTTACCTTTACACATGCACGTGAATTCGCAGCATCTCTGATTTCAACCCAATGTATTCCGGTATCCCAATTGATTCCGGCCCTACTTTAATACAAAAGAGAAAGAGATAAAAGTACCAATCCATTCCTTTATTACACGATTTTTAATAAAATTATCTCTCTCGTGAATTAAATACACGTGAACGCGTCTTATCAAGGTAGCCACATTGATCGCTCCTTCGCTCTGGTTCTTTTTTTAACAGCGTCAAAACCTTGCGCATTACCAGTACTTTCTTTGTGCCACTATATACAGTAGCCACACAAATAAAACGGTTTCTCGACTCTGCGTGTATATAGAGCTGAAGAATCCATAAATATTTATTGCGCACCATATTTTTCTACTCCATCCCGTTGATAGATGGGACGTGGCCACTGTTTCAACTTGCGACTGGCCACTTGCTGCTCGATGTTAGGGATCGACTGTTTATTTATTGACGGCACTTAATCTTTTCAGATCCTTATGTGAGGCTGTCAAAAACGTTACTGTTACTGTAAATATTATATTACACGCAACGTGATCAGCAAGATTTATAACGTGTAAACAGATGAAATTACATACATACTTTCTCGTCTGTAGTAGAACGAGTTCTTTAAGAAGTTCAAAAAAGCTATTACCAATTTCATGTTCATTTATATTACAAAATGATTATTATCATGTAGATTCTTATTTTAATCTCAGAGTCATCTCATTATTAAAAGGTAATAAAACATTAAGAATTCAATTGATCAATGAATGTAAATCATATTCTATCGATTAAAACTGAATTAATATTGATTAAAAGGTTTAATGTTTCAGCTTGAAATGTAATGTATCGTTATCACTTCCCTCTCTGTTTTTCAAAAATAGAAACAAAATCAATGAGCACAGCAAACAGAGATCCGCGTGCGTCGATCGTTTTGATAACCGGCGTAATCGATTTGTATGCAATCGGTAATTGCCCACTAGATGACATCTGTTTCTCACGTAATTTCTCGCGAGAATGAAAGGAGAGCGAAACGCATAAAGTTAATCATGAATGGTACAGAATTATAACTTACTTGGCGCGGAGGATACCGTGATCACGAAGGCGGTTCCTTCTGGGCAAGGCTCTTCCATTGCACTGCGGTAGAGCTGAACCTTGCGAATACTCCTAATGTGGGTATGTCGAGCGCACAATTTTTGGTAGTCGGGACCTGCGTTCGCGCTGTCCCGGATTCACGAAATCAAAATATAACATTTCCCATCTCGAAAACAGGAAAAATATACCTATGGTTCCTCGATTCTATTTTATCGAATCCGCATGCTTACACTTTCAGTTCGGCATGAAATGAATTTCCGTACTATGTTTTTGCTCTGAATTTTACTCTTCACCGTTTTTAACTTGAAACTGAAACATGAAACGGTACTGCCCTCGCAGAAAACGGCGACCTTTTTTTCATCCTATTTATGCATCAGATGGAGAAGGCATCTCGCGTATCTTGCGGTTTCGCGGATTTGCGGTTTTCCTGCTGCGTGTGTACCAGACATTTCCTGGTATTACTGAAAAATTGTTGGGAACAGAGAATTGTACACGAGCTGAATATTTTGAAGGAACAACGAACAAACCGTAGTTGTATGTAGATTTTATATTAGCTTCTCTGTAATAATTTTTTATGTTCTTAGTACGTATCGTGTTAATAAGTATTTTCAGTATTTTTCAAAATGATTGCTAAGGACTTCTTGTACATGAATATTAAAATGTTTCGACTCCCAAATTGAGTTTCGAGTCTCGAGTCGAGTTTGAGTATGGAGTTGATATCCAGGCCCCGGTAATTACGGGTACCTAAGCAAACTGAGCAGATGGAATTTTCAGCGTCTCGTACGAACTGACCCGAGGCTCGGACGTCTGAATTTACGAGTAGTATCTGCAATCCCCTAATAGCAATATTAACTGACTGAATAATTGTCTCGAATATATGAAAGTTTTGCAAATATCGAAGTAAAGAAGGAAGTAGAGGATAAATGAATTCATAGAAAATGTGGTTTGCTTATTCCATACTTTAAGAAAGGACATTTTCCTCGGACAAGTATTTTCTTTTATTTTGTGAATTGTGATATGACGCTGTTAAGTTATTCCTGATGTCTCTTCAATTTCTCTTCATTCATCTTCCTTAGCATATCTTGGAAAATTGAAACCTCGTGACTGTTGTGATAGAAACGCGTGCTACTCAGAGAAATGCTTTTAGAAATAACTATTGATCCTGTACAATCCTGCTAATCAATATTGAAATCCAGAATTAAACTCATGTTTAAAATAGAATAAAATATATACGGAGTTCTGCAAAATAATTGCGATTGTTCTGAACATTCAATCCTATCCTAGACATTATCCTATTTGAATTGCGTCAATTTCTCTAGTTACTGCATTTTTTTAATATCCTTTAATTCGAATCGTATTAGCATCTCATTGTACTGCATTTCCCTAGATTATCTCAATCTATTCCCCTGCAGAGATATTTGCATTGTAATTATTCAATTGCTTTTATTTCATAGTGTATTTAGTATCACTTAATCTTATTAGAAATCGTATGTCACGGACTTCGTGACCAGACTTTAATGCAACGGAATACCGTGTCATCCGAAGGAAAGTAAACACGTACGTCGTATATGCGTGTCGCAGTATCCCTCGCGCATGAACATCTCTCTTTCCTCTCCCGAACTGGAAAAGGGATGTCATGTCGACTGTCTCACACTTCTTGTTGAAGGAAAAGCAACGTTGCTGGAAGAGCTCTAGAGGACGTGACGCGTCTAGCGTGCCACTTATTTCTTGTTTTTTCTTTCGCATGAAGCACTTTTTCCCTCGAGGATCGCGGGTCGTACTCGAGGAAACGAGTCTACAACAACAATCGACGAACAAGACTCGTAATCAGACAAACCGAAACTCCTGACCCCTTAGTCTTCGTTAACCAAGTTACCCGCTCGTTTCTGAGTTAAATGTAATAAAATTTCTTATTAGAATGCGTCGGGATATGACGGAATCATCAAGGAGCTGATACGTTGATCTTGTAGTTGATGGATAGAAAGCACGAGACATATAATTTATTCAAAGATAAATTGTATAGTCATTTCTTTTCTTTCCATTTTTTCATGAATTTCTAAAACTTCGTGAGGAGTCTTAGTGCAGAACATATCACTTTCCTCTGATGTTTCTATCGTTGACTGACACTTTTTTGCCTTCTGTCGCGAAGGAGTAGGTGACATACATTTTTAGGACGACATGTAAGCATTGTATGAAGTGCTAAATGATGTTTCTCAGTCAGTTCGGTTTTGAGTTGCAAATATATTTCACGAGGTGGACCAATTCATCGAATAAGATTTTATTCGTAGACATTTTTATTTGTTTATGTATTTTTTATACATACTTGGAAAGTTTGGGACGATAATCAATTTATTAAAGAGGAGTGCTCTATTCATATTAAGTTAAGTTATATTAAGAAGTTGCTATACCTAAATATTGAACTGTAACTTAAATAATACGTAAAGAATAATAAATATTAATATAACATCAGTTCAGACGTTCTCGAACTTTTTGTGCACAAAATATAACTGATAATCATCACGATGATTAGTAGATTACTAAATCATTTAATACACACGGTGATTATTTTCTCAACAGTGGACCAATACCTTTTACACTATTTTTATAAAAAAGTTTATGATAGACTCATGAATTCGCGAAAAATAATCACTGAGTTCACCGGTGTTATTTATAACTATTTATTTATTACGAATAATTACTACTGTTTAACTACCATTCAATGAATGATCAGTAGCCCTTTGTGCAGCCTGATCATACTTAGCAATGGGAAGGTCTGAATTAATATCCGATGACTGACCAGTAGCACTTGGTACAGACTGATCATACTTAGCAATGGGAAGGTCTAATTTATTATCAGATGACTGTCCAGTAGCACTTGGTCTAGCCTGATCATACTTAGAAACAGCAAGGTCTGATTTATTATCAGGTGATTGACCAGTAGCACTTGGTCTAGCCTGATCATACTTAGCAATAGAAAGGTCCAATTTATTATCAGATGACTGACCAGTAGCACTTGGTCTAGCCTGATCATACTTAGCAACAGCAAGGTCTGATTTATTATCAGGTGATTGACCAGTAGCACTTGGTCTAGCCTGATCATACTTAGCAATAGAAAGGTCCAATTTATTATCAGATGACTGACCAGTAGCACTTGGTACAGACTGATCATACTTAGCAATGGGAAGGTCTGACTTAATATCCGATGACTGACCAGTAGCACTTGGTCTAGCCTGATCATACTTAGCAACAGCAAGGTCTGATTTATTATCAGATAACTGATCAGTAGCACTTGGTACAGCTGTATCATACTTAGCAATAGAAAGGTCTGAGTTATTATCAGATGACTCACCAGTAGCACTTGGTATAGCGTACGCATAGTGCGGGAAATCAAATTTATCATTCCCTAAATATTTAGTAACACTTGGAACAGCCTGATCATATTTCGGCGTAGCAACATCCGATTTATTATTCAATGAATGATCAATGACACTTGGTACAGATTGTTCTGTGCTACTAGTAGTTGCTACTTCTGTACTATTTGTGTAAGATTTGTCTGTGCTGCTGCTGATCGGTTGTTCTGAGCTATTTGGCGCAACTTGTTTTGTAGATGTTCTTCTTGCTGGCTCGGTGCTACCTGGTACAAATTGCTCTGTGCTACTCGGCACAGATTGCTCTGTGCTACTTGACACAAATTGCCATGTGCCGCTGCTAGTTGGTTCGTCAATGCTAGTTGTGACAGATTTCTCTGAGCTACTGCTAATTGCTTCTTCCGTGCCAATTGGGACAGATTGTTCCGTGCTGCTGCTACTTGCAGATTCAGTACTAGTTGTATCCAATTGTTCTGTACTGATGATGATCGGTTGTTCTGAGATTCGTGGGACAAGTTCTTCTCCAGTTGCGTTGAGTGCTGGCTCAGTGCTACTTGGTACACACTGTTCTGTGCTGCTGCTAGTTGCTTCTTCAGGACTGATGGTGACAGATTGTCCTTTACTACTGCTAACTACTTCTTCAGTACTAGTTGGAACATATCGCTCTGTGGTACTCCTAGTGGCTTCTTCAGTAATAGTGGTGACAAATTGTTCTATGCTACTGCTAATTGCATCTTCAGTACTAGTTGGGACAGATCGCTGTGTGCTGCTGCTCATCGGTTGTTCTGAGCTACTTAGCACAAATTCTTCTGCAGTTGTGCTGATTACTGGCTCACTACTACTATTATATTGCTCTGTGCTACTGGAACTTATTTCTTCAGTGCTAGTTGCGACAGATTGCTCCGTGCTGCTGCTAGTTGCTTCTTCAGTACTAGTGGTGACAGAGTGCCCTATACTACTGCTAATTACTTCTTCAGTGCTAGTTGGGACAGACCCCTCTGTGCTGCTGCTCATCGGTTGTTCTGAGCTACTTGGTACAAATTGTTGTGTTGGCTCACTACTACTTTGTATAAATTGATCTGTGCTACTGGGACTTGCTTCTTCGGTTCTACTGGGGACAGATTGTTCCGTGCTACTGGCGATTGGTTGTTCGGGGCTTATTCCGTCAGTGGTCGTTATTATTTGTCTATCAGTAGCCACTGTAGTAGACGTTGCATAGTAGTCTGTAATCATCGGAGTTTCAAGTGACGTGCTGCCTGCATATTGCTCAGTTGGCACTACAGAATGTTCAGTTATTATTGAAGAATGTGTCGTATGTTCAGTTATTTTCATGGACGTTGCTGTCCTCGTCTCGTTAAGTTTCTCCTGGGTGCACTGCTCGACTTCCTGGATAACACGTTCGGCATTGTTTTGTAACGATGATAAATATTCTGGTAGTACACACTTTGCAATATCTAATTTGAGACCTATGATATTCTCGACCGTGTCGATTGTGTCCTCTGTTATCTGCTGTAATTGGCTTTGTGGTACCTGTAGTACGCTTTTTATCGCCTATATTATTGATATTCATACATAAGAAGAAAATAAATCCTATATACAGCTCCTTTGTCTAATAAAATACTTACGTTATGAAAGCATCCGCTAGCGTCAAATATGAAAATGGATCTACCACAGCTTGCGGCGATTTTCAGAGCTGTCTCAAAATTTTTTTCAAAGTATTCAAGTTTCTTCAAAATTTCTTTCATAAAGTACGTAGCTTGGTCCATGATCCCGGAAATACAGTTATCAACGTTGCTCATAATTTGCTCAGCTTCACGAATCACATTATCTATTACTTGTGTGCACTCATCTATATTCATATCCGTTGTCTGATTTAACAATGACATGTTAAATTCTATCTGTAAACAAAAAAGCAAATATTAATAAAGTAGGAAATGTGGGTAGAAAAGTCTTTTTTCGTATTATTTAATACGTTTTACGCTGGTATTATACGTACCCTTTCTAAAATGTCGTTAATTTGAAGACGTGTATTTTCGTTTATTTCGTTACATGTTTTCTGTAATTCAGACTGGTGATTGGAGGCATTCTTTGTATTCTGTTTCAGAACGGAAAGGATAGGGTTGCTCATATCTTTGATTCTGTTCTTAATTTCACTTTGATATCCACCCAGGTTGAACAACGGTCTGAACAGTGGGAATGGGACGAAGGCCTAAAATATAAAGGAAATTATATACCTGATCATACTTAGCAACAGCAAGGTCTGATTTATTATCAGATAACTGATCAGTAGCACTTGGTACAGCTGTATCATACTTAGCAATAGAAAGGTCTGAGTTATTATCAGATGACTCACCAGTAGCACTTGGTATAGCGTACGCATAGTGCGGGAAATCAAATTTATCATTCCCTAAATATTTAGTAACACTTGGAACAGCCTGATCATATTTCGGCGTAGCAACATCCGATTTATTATTCAATGAATGATCAATGACACTTGGTACAGATTGTTCTGTGCTACTAGTAGTTGCTACTTCTGTACTATTTGTGTAAGATTTGTCTGTGCTGCTGCTGATCGGTTGTTCTGAGCTATTTGGCGCAACTTGTTTTGTAGATGTTCTTCTTGCTGGCTCGGTGCTACCTGGTACAAATTGCTCTGTGCTACTCGGCACAGATTGCTCTGTGCTACTTGACACAAATTGCCATGTGCCGCTGCTAGTTGGTTCGTCAATGCTAGTTGTGACAGATTTCTCTGAGCTACTGCTAATTGCTTCTTCCGTGCCAATTGGGACAGATTGTTCCGTGCTGCTGCTACTTGCAGATTCAGTACTAGTTGTATCCAATTGTTCTGTACTGATGATGATCGGTTGTTCTGAGATTCGTGGGACAAGTTCTTCTCCAGTTGCGTTGAGTGCTGGCTCAGTGCTACTTGGTACACACTGTTCTGTGCTGCTGCTAGTTGCTTCTTCAGGACTGATGGTGACAGATTGTCCTTTACTACTGCTAACTACTTCTTCAGTACTAGTTGGAACATATCGCTCTGTGGTACTCCTAGTGGCTTCTTCAGTAATAGTGGTGACAAATTGTTCTATGCTACTGCTAATTGCATCTTCAGTACTAGTTGGGACAGATCGCTGTGTGCTGCTGCTCATCGGTTGTTCTGAGCTACTTAGCACAAATTCTTCTGCAGTTGTGCTGATTACTGGCTCACTACTACTATTATATTGCTCTGTGCTACTGGAACTTATTTCTTCAGTGCTAGTTGCGACAGATTGCTCCGTGCTGCTGCTAGTTGCTTCTTCAGTACTAGTGGTGACAGAGTGCCCTATACTACTGCTAATTACTTCTTCAGTGCTAGTTGGGACAGACCCCTCTGTGCTGCTGCTCATCGGTTGTTCTGAGCTACTTGGTACAAATTGTTGTATAATTGTACTGACTGCTGGCTCACTACTACTTTGTATAAATTGATCTGTGCTACTGGGACTTGCTTCTTCGGTTCTACTGGGGACAGATTGTTCCGTGCTACTGGCGATTGGTTGTTCGGGGCTTGTTTGAAGAATTCCGTCAGTGGTCGTTATTATTTGTCTATCAGTAGCCACTGTAGTAGACGTTGCATAGTAGTCTGTAATCATCGGAGTTTCAAGTGACGTGCTGCCTGCATATTGCTCAGTTGGCACTACAGAATGTTCAGTTATTATTGAAGAATGTGTCGTATGTTCAGTTATTTTCATGGACGTTGCTGTCCTCGTCTCGTTAAGTTTCTCCTGGGTGCACTGCTCGACTTCCTGGATAACACGTTCGGCATTGTTTTGTAACGATGATAAATATTCTGGTAGTACACACTTTGCAATATCTAATTTGAGACCTATGATATTCTCGACCGTGTCGATTGTGTCCTCTGTTATCTGCTGTAATTGGCTTTGTGGTACCTGTAGTACGCTTTTTATCGCCTATATTATTGATATTCATACATAAGAAGAAAATAAATCCTATATACAGCTCCTTTGTCTAATAAAATACTTACGTTATGAAAGCATCCGCTAGCGTCAAATATGAAAATGGATCTACCACAGCTTGCGGCGATTTTCAGAGCTGTCTCAAAATTTTTTTCAAAGTATTCAAGTTTCTTCAAAATTTCTTTCATAAAGTACGTAGCTTGGTCCATGATCCCGGAAATACAGTTATCAACGTTGCTCATAATTTGCTCAGCTTCACGAATCACATTATCTATTACTTGTGTGCACTCATCTATATTCATATCCGTTGTCTGATTTAACAATGACATGTTAAATTCTATCTGTAAACAAAAAAGCAAATATTAATAAAGTAGGAAATGTGGGTAGAAAAGTCTTTTTTCGTATTATTTAATACGTTTTACGCTGGTATTATACGTACCCTTTCTAAAATGTCGTTAATTTGAAGACGTGTATTTTCGTTTATTTCGTTACATGTTTTCTGTAATTCAGACTGGTGATTGGAGGCATTCTTTGTATTCTGTTTCAGAACGGAAAGGATAGGGTTGCTCATATCTTTGATTCTGTTCTTAATTTCACTTTGATATCCACCCAGGTTGAACAACGGTCTGAACAGTGGGAATGGGACGAAGGCCTAAAATATAAAGGAAATTATATTTTATTCCAAACATCAAGCTAATTAGTTTATCGTTTATTCTCTTAATCAAAATTGACTAAACTATTAAAGAGGTAGACTTCGATAGTAGAAAATATAATTTCACTCACTTGTGCCGTAACGACAAGGAGGCTGAAGACAATTATCTGCATCTTTACTCCGTACCACACTTATACAAAAGAAGAAGTTCGTCGAAAATCCTTGAGGCGCTAATAATTGAAGAACCTACGCAATTTCCAACACTTGTGTCAATATAATAATAGTTTACTATTTTATTATACTATTAGTGGGCGGATTATTAATTTATAATTTACGATCCTTATCGACTTCGTATAAAGAAGATCAATCTGACGTATTCCGGACGTATTTAATCTTTCATTCTAGTTTCCGAAAAACGAGAATAATTGTTATTCAGATCCTTTGTAGAATTACATATAAATACTTTGACTGCCATGTCACCTAAATTCAGGTGACGCATAAAGTTTTCACCTGGATTAGGATGATCGATACATTGGCTGTTATTTGGCTGTGGTATTTCAAAAGATAGTTAACAGGATATAGGCTAATAAAGTATAAAAATATATTATTATGAACTGTGTAATTAATTTGATTAAGGAAAGTATTTTGTTTAGCAGTCAGAGTGTCAATATAATTTTTAATTGCTGCACGACACACATATATCTACAATTAAACTTTGTTTACGTCGAATGTGTTGAACTTCTTTTAGTTCTCTCCGAAATATTGCACTATTAAACTATACAATAAAACCGGAATAGCTTTTTTTTTTACAATTTCTCTGTACTTCAAAATTCGTATAATTCTTATATTTTATATAATCATCCTTGTTTTTCTTTTCAACGAAATTCGGTATTAAATAAAGATTGAGAAATGTACTGTGGGATAACTAGACGTGTACATGGGCACTGTAATACTAAATGCAAATTCTTTCGTTTTTTTGTTTCCGATTCATAGAATTGCATGTTGTTAGTACTGTTTACATTCATATGACTTAACGACTTACACGATAGGCTTGATAGCCACGTAATGGAGGCTGTTATGCTGTTATAGGTTCATAAACGTCATTTAACTACGAAATTAGCGATACTACAATTGATACTCATTTTTTGGATTTTTCCCAATTTTTCTTCAGTTCTTCATATATTTGTATAAACTGAACAATCAAAATAAAGAATCTTTTGAACAACAGTAATTAAAAAAAAAAAAACAAAAAAGGGAATCCTCTGTGGCAGCATAATACCTAAACGGAAAAGCAAAAAAAATTTACTAGTTCGACAACTTAAACTAACCGTACGTTGGGGACGAGATCGAAGGGTCCGCGGTGAACGGTCCCAAAATGTGTTCGGCGACTGTTCGCCGTGGACCCTCCGGAGATGTGCTTCTTCCGACAGTGATGTAACTATTAACATGTAACCCCTTAATGTTATATTTTTCCGGTGGTAGCCCGAGAGTTCGTGGCGAACGGCTTGTCTCGAGCCGCATAGGCGAGGAGCCACCAGAGACTGGAGACAAGACTCGGTCCCGTGGTCGTTAAAAGCGAAACGAGATGATGCACGATAACCGGTTTCGGTACGAACTCGAGGGCTGCACTAGCCACCGGCAGTTTGTGATATATTTAGTAAAACAAATTTAAAATGAAAGAATGGTTGTTATTGAAATTAATAAAAAAGAAAAAACAAAAAGAATTAAGAGAGCGAGCGAGAGAGAGAGAGAGAAAGAGAGAGAGAGA